AGTTATTTGAAGACACCCCCAAAACCCCAAAACCCCGAAAGACAAAATTATAATTCTGCAATTGAGATTTGTAATATAAAGTTCAGAATAGGGCTGAGAGGGATATTATAATAGCAATAGGTTTGAATACTAATTATTTAAACAAGAAATCAAAAATTATGGCATAGAGACAACCACCTAAGAAATCAGGTACCGCTTAATCGCAAATGGGAGCTTCTCAACAGCAATAGCCACTCTCAACAACTTTGGGCTAGCAGCCAAGATCAGCTGGAGGACAATAGCAAGAACAAGAATAAAATCAAAGCACTGCTATGACTGGAGTCACCTCTGGGAATTCCTCTGGATCAGTTGAAGAACTAGACGTATATGGTGAAGTCCCATAAGCTCGTTTTGGACATACCATCACTCTAGTCAGTAAAACCAAAGTTGTGCTTTTTGGAGGTGCTACAGGTGATACTGGCAAGTACTCAATGACTGGTGAGACTTACTTGTTCAACATTCTAACTAAAACCTGGCAAAAACTCAATGGTAAGATTCGGTTTTATACCTTTACATCAATATTTCATTACTAATTATATGAATTTAACAGTATTCTTTTATAGTAAAAGGAGTGCCCCCATCACCAAGAGCTGCTCACTCTTCAACTAATGTGGAATAGATGCAAATGGTAGTTTACGGAGGAGCCACTGGAGGTAATCATAATACTTTAATTATTGCATATTTGATCTCTAACAATTATATAGGTGGAAGCTTGGCTTCTGATGACTTATACTTACTTGATATGAGAAATGGTGAGGAGAATGCTCAATGGATGATTGTCCCAGTGGTAGGATCAACACCAGGAAGAAGATATGGTCACACAATTATCTTTTCTAAGCCACATTTGCTTGTATTTGGAGGTAACACTGGATAAGAGGCAGTTAATGATGTGTGGTGCTTGAGTGTCGAGAAAGCCCCATTCTCCTGGATAAAGCTTGACTGTGGAAAAGATAACCCAGCAGTCAGAGTTTACCATTCTGCAGCATTGTGCTAAACTGGCAGTGCTACTGGCATGATGGTAGTCTTCGGTGGCAGGACTTCTGATTAAAGCTCATTAAACGATAGCTGGGGACTTAGAAGACATAGAGATGGTAGATGGGATTGGGTTAAGGCACCATACAAAGCAACTGGAGAGTAGCCAACACCAAGATATCAACACTCAACTCTTTTCTTGGGACCTCTTATGATGGTTATTGGAGGAAGAACTAATCAGGTTGGTGAGATTGTACCTCTTGAAGTATACGATACTGAATCTTCAGAGTGGTACAAGTTCAACTCTCTCTAGAGATTTAGACATGCTTGCTGGTCAGTTGACGCTAATGTTTACGTACACGGTGGCTTTGAGCATGAAACTCCTAACATTCCAATTAACATTATCGCTAGAATTGATTCTTACAAGCTTTTCCATAAGCACGAGCACCTCGTTCAAAAGATAAAGCCAATTGAGTCTAAAACTAAGGACAAGGCTAACGGAAAGGATCAAATCAAGAAGAATGCAGGCCCTAACATCGGCAATATGGGACAAGAAAGAGAATTTAGACTTGCTACCCAAGCTCATATCGCTATGAGTTACCCAGGATAAGGAGAACAACCAGTAGAGGATTTCTCAATGCTCGTCAGACAAATATCAATCGATAAACTTCAAGAAGAGCCAAAGAAATTAGGACCAGGATTCAAAAATCAAATTTCAGTTAATAAGAATCCTCATGAAGCATTATACAGACTTTTCCTGATAGCCCTGTTAAAGCCCAAAGACTTCACATTGCCTCCTTGGGGATCAAAGTTCCCTCTAAAGAGAGAGGACATTATTGAGCTTGCTACTGAATGCATCAATATCCTCGCAATTCAGCCTACAGTTATTAAGGATCTAAAACCCCCCATTAAGATCTTTGGAAATCTTCATGGAAATTATGCTGATCTTATGAGATTCTTTGATATTTGGAAAGCACCATCAGATAACGGAGACATCAGTGGATACGATTATGTATTCCTAGGAAATTATGTTGACAGAGGAGCTTATAACCTTGAAACTATCTGCTTGCTCATGGCTCTCAAACTTAAGTATCCCAGACAGATATTCCTTATGAGAGGTAATCATGAAGATAAAAACGTTAATAAATACCTTGGTTTCGGAGAGGAATGTGCTAAGAGACTTGGTGAGGATATTAACATGTCAAATAGTGTCTTCGCTAAGATCAACGAGATGTTCGAGTATTTACCTCTAGCTGGTATTGTGTGCGACAAAGGTACCTAAAACAAGGTATTCTTAGTTCACGGTGGTATCGGCTCATCAGCAATGAAAGTAGAGGAGATCGAGAAAATACAAAGACCTATTCAGATTAACCTAGGAGAAATCACTACTCCTGAGCAATAATTAGTCGTCGATCTACTTTGGAGTGATCCTACAGACAGTGAAGAGGAAATGGGCATAATCCCTAATCAAATTAGAGATCCTCTAGGACAAAACAATATAATGAAATTTGGCCCTGATCGCGTTGAAAAATTCTTGAAAACTAATGGTATGAGTATGATCTTAAGATCTCATTAAGTATGCCCGGATGGTATTGATAGATTCGCAGGTGGGTAATGTATCACTATCAATTCATGCACAGACTATTGCAATAAGTATAATAATGATGCCAGTTTTATAATACTACAAAAGAAAATCATCGTTTCTACTAAGATCATCAAGCCTGCTTAGAACTCAAAAATCAACTGGATTGAAACAAGTCAGATTCCAGAAAGTGCTAATTCCAGCGTCAGAAGACCATTAACACCCCTTAGGATCACTAAATCTGCTCCATAATGAGATCAAGAGATGCTTTTATAATCGAACTATAAATGACTTGAAGAGAATATTGAGATATTAATTGAATTTAATATATACATATGATTAAATTCATCCTATAAATATATGTATTTACCTTTAATTAATTTTGGGCTAAGACTCATTTGGAATTTTTAGAGTCAAGGGGTTTTGGGGTTTTGGGGTTTTGGGGTTTTGGGGTTTTGGGG